GAAGCCGTGTGTGCGTGTGTGTGTGCGTGCGTGCGTGTGTGTGTGTGTGTGTGTGTAGGGGCAGAGGTAGGAGAGGTGTGGGGGCCGGTGTCCCAAGGCGCTGTAAAGGCCCAGGAGAAGTCTAGACGAGGGCTGGTGCTGGTGTGCGCCGGCTGGGGAGATTGCCACAGAATCTTGGTTTCAATGAGAGGGTGGAGCAGGAGCCGTGGCCAGCCCTTCCCCTCCCCTAGAGCTGCCTTCCAGCTCAGCTCCAGGGCCCATAGCCTGTTGCGTGGCTTTGGGTCCTGATCCCGTGTGCAAGCCTGGGGTGAGGGTGTAGGCGGGGAGCTGCCAGCCACGTGCGCCCGGGCCTGCTGCGGAGCTGGAAATAGGCTGAAGGACGAAGGCCGAGGAGATACTCTCAGGGAATGTGGAAGATACACTCAACTTTTCCCATCACGCAGATTCAGGGACTTAAAGGGGTGGGGGGTGGGGGTATTAATGATAACAATACCGAAATCTCCGGCGCTGGCACTGAACTTACAATTTTCCAAAGCTTCCAAAGCACTTTTATGTGTCCGATCTTATTTGAATTTCAAAAAAACCTTTTGAAGATTTACCTCCATTTTTAAATGTCATTGAGATTGGTAGAAAAGTACAACGTTCTACATTTGGTGTTTCTTACACTTCGCAATAATACGACTTAATGGAGAAGGGAGAGAAAGATGATGGGTAACTGGGAAACCCACCCGCTTTGGAATTAAGATCTCACTGAAGACGCAGACCTGGGGCGGGTCCTGCCTGCAGACAAGATCAGTATTTAGTTTTGTCCTTTCTCTTCGACTGTTCTCTTGAGCCCAGCATCGTCTTCACTCCTTGCTCCCTAGGCTGAGACATGACATTGACCAAAGCACAGTTGTTGGGGTCTGAGTCTTTCCCGAGAGCGCCCCCCAGAGAAGCTCCTTGGAAGGAAGGGCAAGAAGCCGGCTTGGCGCGTGTCTTCGCGGCACAACCGACAAACGTCCAGACGCAGGGTTGCCTGTCCAAAAGCCGCAAGGGGGAAGCGCGGAAAAGTTTGTCCACGCGGAGGGTACCCTGAGCTTTCTTCCCATCCTCCACCCCCAGTAAAGGAACGTAGGTAGTGAGGAAAGCGAATGTTGGTATAGGAGTTGGCTTTATTTCGAGGGAGTGCAGAGCACTCTTCAAGGAGAGAATTGAAATAAAAAACCAATAAACAAAACAACCTTGCTATTACAATTGCTATTGATGGAAAAGGCGCCTAACCTGCTGAATTGAATCGTTCCAAGTACCTGTTCATCATTAGGAGCGCCTTCTCTACACGGAGGGGAAAGAAAATAGAAAAACAAAAACCAAATTCGAGAAGCCTCCTTAACAGGCCCCCGCAATGGCTAGGAGGCCCCTGCCCGGCCAGGGAGCGCTCCACCCTCCCAGCCCCTAGCGCGGGGAGGAAGCGAAAATAGCCAAAGAGAAGACGAAACAACAACAACAACAACACGTTTAAAATCCAAGGGGGGAAAGTCGGAGTGGGTCTCAAGATCTGCGCCGCGCAGGGCTCAGCTCCGTTGTCCACTCGGCTAGAGGCCGGGGCCTGGCCGGAGCAGCGACGCAGATGCCTCAGCCCGGCTGGGGAGCGCAGCCCATAGCTCTCCCTCTCCAGGCGCCCAAGGACCCTCAAGGCGCAGGGCTCACACTTGAAGCCTGGGAACGCGCAGAAAGGAAACCCACTTCCTCCTAAGCAGTTTCTTGCTCGCCGGATGAGAGGCGTCCAATTGAAGCAGAATGATCCTCATCTACTAATATCCAGCGTGGCCACAAAGCGACTGGCCATTTACGCCACCACTTTAAACAAAGATATTTGGTTATTCCCGGGGAAGCAAGTGCACTTTTGCATGGTTGAGCTCCGGGAGGAGGCGAGCCTCAGCCCAGCCTCCCTCCCGCTGGGCTTCTCGCGCCTCGGGATTAGCCCCCTCCCGGCCAGCTGGGCCCGCCGGGGTTCAGGCTAAGTTCCGCGGGGCAACAGGCG